TGAACCGGACGTTGATAGAGAGAGTCAGAAGCATGCGGTTACATGCTGGCTTGCCTAAACAATTTTGGGCTGAAGCTATCAACACAGCAGCATACTTAATCAATCGCGGGCCATTAGTGCCTTTGGAGTACAGGATACCGGAGGAAGTATGGAGCGGAAAAGAAATAAAACTTTCTCATTTGAAAGTTTTTGGTTGTGTCGCATATGTACATATTAGTGATCAAGCTAGGGGTAAGCTTGACCCCAAATCACTAAAGTGTACATTCATTGGATATGGTGGAGATGAGTTCGGGAATCGCTTTTGGGATGATAAGAACAAAAAGGTCATTAGAAGTCGGGATGTCATATTCAATGAAAGGGTGATGTACAAGGATAGAGATACAGCGCATTCCAGTGACATACATGATAATCCAACATATGTTGAGTTGGATGATACTCCAAGTAGTAGTATGTCAAAGCAGACAGATGAAAGTCCTCAGCTAGAGGAAGCTGTTGCGGAGACTTTACCTCCAACTCCTATTCCTAGAAGATCTTCCCGACCACATGTTCCAAACAGAAAGTACATAAATTATTTGTTACTTACTGATGCCGGTGAACCTGAATGCTATGATGAAGCATGTCAGGGAGATGATGCAATTAAATGGGAGCTTGCAATGAAAGATGAGATAAAGTTCTTATCTCTAATCAAACGTGGGAGCTAGTTGAGTTGCCTGTAGAAAAGAAAGCCCTACACAATAAATGGGTCTATCGGGTCAAGGAGGAACATGACAGATCAAAGAGATACAAGGCGAGATTGGTAGTCAAAGGCTTTCAACAGAAAGAAGGAATTGACTACACAGAGATTTATTCTCCAGTAGTAAAGCTGGCAACAATTCGATCAGTCTTAAGTATTGTTGCAGCAGAGGGATTGCACTAAGAGCAGTTAGATGTGAAAACTGTCTTTCTCCATGGTGACCTAGAGGAGGAGATATATATGCAGCAACCAGAGGGTTTCTCAATCAAAGGAAAAGAGAAGCTCGTGTGCAAATTAAAGAAAAGCTTATATGGCTTAAAACAAGCTCCGAGACAGTGGTACAAGAAGTTTGATGGATTTATGTAGAAAAATGGCTACTACAAGTGCAATGCTGACCATTGTTGCTATTTTAAGAGGCTGGAGTCCGGCTACATTATTTTGCTACTTTATGTTGACGACATGTTAGTAGCAGGACCAGACATGAATGAAATCCAGAAATTAAAGAAGCAACTGTCAGCAGAATTCGAAATGAAGGACTTAGGTCCAACTAAACAAATTCTAGGGATGAGAATTTGTAGGGACAAGCAAAAAGGCACTTTGCAGTTATCCCAGGCCAAGTACATTGTCAAGTTTTGCAGAGGTTCAACATGAACAATGCAAAGGCAGTTAGCACACCATTGGCTAACCACTTCCGTCTATCAAACGACCAGTCTCCAAAAACAGAAGAAGAAAGAAACTTCATGGCTAATATTCCATACGCCTTAGCCATTGGTAGTTTAATGTATGCCATGGTCTATACAAGACCAGACATTGCTCATGCAGTGGAAGTTGTGAGTAGATTCATGACAAATCCAGGAAAACAGCATTGGGAAGCAGTGAAGTGGATATTGAGATATCTACAGGGTACTGTTGATAAATATTTGTGTTTCAAAAGAGATGAGTTGGCACTACAAGGCTTTGTAGATGCAGATTTTGCTGGCAAGGTTGATCACAGGAAAAACACCACCGGTTATGTATTCACAGTTGGTACTACTGCAGTGAGTTGGGTTTCGCAAAAACAGAAGATTGTTGCTTTATCCACTACAGAAGCAGAGTATGTGGCAGTAACTGAAGCTAGCAAAGAGAAGATTTGGTTACAAGGTTTGTTGACAGAATTGGGTCTCAAGCAGGGAAAGAATGTTTTGCACAGTGACAGTCAGAGTGCTATACATCTGGCAAAGAATGCAGCATTTCATTCAAGAACGAAGCACATAGGTCTTCGTTATCACTTCATCAGATCTCTCTTAGAAGATGGAGTATTAACATTGGAAAAGATCCAGGGCAGCAAAAACCCAGCTGACATGTTAACCAAGACGGTAACTACGGAAAAACTGGAGTTGTGTTCAACTTCAGTTGGCCTTCTAAAATGAAGATGAGGAAGGTGAACCACACCAATTTTACTAAAAAGGAACTGCTCTCAAGATGTCTCAAGGTGAAGCCACATTAGTCTCCAAGTGGGAGATTGTTGAAATTTTGGAGCCTATAACTTAGGCTTCACAATTTTTCTATGGTGTCAGACAAATTTTTTCCAAATTGTGGTAGCAATTGTTGACTAAAACAATGTGAATGGAGAAACTTTCGACCATGCAGCCGAAATTGTTTTGGAAGAAGATTTTGCCATGCATTTAATTCAAGGCAACTTTGTTGAAATTGATGGAAATGCATTTAATGAGGATGGTGAAAATTTCTCTATAAATTGGAGCCCAAAGCAGGTGCAAAAATGTAGAGCAAAAGAAAAGTGCAAGAAAATCGTGTAGAGTGAAAATACGAGAGATAGTGAGCAAAACACAAAGTGAGAAGCAGTTAGGCATTCGTTTGTGTAGAAAATTAACGAGAGAAAATTGAGAGATTGTCTTTGCGTAGGCAAATAAAATACAGAGAGTGTATTTGTTGTATTCCTTTTATTCTCTTGTTGATACAGTAAAAGAATTGGTGTGGGTTTGTGGACGTAGGCACGATTGCCGAATCACGTAAATTCTTGTGTCACTTGCACTTATTATTTTTGCTACATTTATTTCTTCTCAGTTCAAATTATTTTGCGTTCCACTGATTCTGGCGGAATTAGTAGCGATCTAATTTCCTAACAGAAAGGGGAGTAAACAAGACAATAAGTGATCAAGCGATACATCTAGATCTTGTTGCAAAGAGTAGAGGAATTACGGCTGCAGAAACTTAGAGGAATTACGGCTGCAGAAACTTGCTTTATTAATCTGCTGGAATCCTCGAAAACCATCTCACTTATGGTGCTCTTCTTGACTGTTACTGCAAGCATTTAATGACAGAAAATGCAGAAGCTTTGATGGAAAAGATGAACAAACTTAACTGAGAGCTGAATTCCATGCCATATAACAGCCTCATGATTCTGTACACGAAAACTGGGCAGGCAGAAAATGTTCCAGCAATCATCCAAGAAATAAAGTCATGTGATATCTTGCCAGATTCTTACACCTACAATGTCTGGATGAGGGCTCTTGCTTCTATGAATGAAATATCTGGGGTCGAGAGACTTATTGATGAAATGAAGAGGGATGGCCGAGTCGCTGGAGATTGGAGAACATATAGCAATTTGGCATCTGTTTATGCTGATGCCGGATTATTTGATAAAGCTGAGAAGGCACTCAAGGAACTGGAAAAGCTAAATACTACACGAGAACATTCTGCTTACCCGTTCCTGGTCACTGTATGGATGAACTGGAAATCTACTTGAAGATTACCGTATCTGGCGTTCTTTGAGGCTTTTATTTCCAAAAACTCCAAATATAAGCTATCTAAATATGATACTGGTATTGGTTAAGTTTAATGATTTACCAGGTGCTGAGAGATGTTACAGGGAGTGGGCATCTGTATGCTCAACCTACATATTCGAATTGCAAATGCCCTAATCAGAGCTTATCTTAAAGAAGGTTCGTTAGAGAAGGCTGAGGTGCTCAAGGCACAGGCAAAGAGAAGAGGAGTCTAGTCCAATGCTAAAACATGGGAGCTTTATCTGGATTACCATCTGACGAACAGAGAGCTTAAATCAGCTCTAGATTGTATTGAAAATGCAATTTTGACTGGTAGGGAAGATGGTGGTAAATGGACCCCTCTACCTGCCGTTATTGGGGAACTGATGCGACAGTTTGAGCAAAACAAAAATGTTGAGGGTGCTAAACATTTCTTGGAGGTTCTGAAGAAGTCGAAAGCGAGTCGGGATCAGAAGTACTTGAATCATCGATAAGAATTTATGCAGCTGCTGGAAATACAATTCCAGTCATGCGCAGCTAGATTAAGATGGAGAATGCAGAAATTGAGCGAGGAAGGGATAAAACTACCGGATGCCGTCTGCAAGGAATGAGATCTTCTTAGCTACACATCTTTCTGTATAAAATTTTCCTTTAAAGAAGTAATTTAAACACATTGCCGGCTATAACACTCTTTGGCTACATTGGTAGTGAAGATTTGCCAATGACAATTTGGAAGCTGATTTGTTCATTTGAACTCTTTCTTGTGCATGGTAGTGGCTATTTGTTCCCATGATAAATTTAGAGCAATTTCATCATCAATTTTTGTACCTTTAGCAGCCGTATGCTGAAGTAATTGACAGTTTGGTCATACATTGTTGTACCTTTATCTTGGAATATTTCGGGTACTACTAACTTTGATGTACTTCCGTTACTTGTACCTAAATTCTACGTTGCATAAGACACCTACTAAGAACCTATACTATGTAGCTAAGATGCACTGTAAACTTCAATTTCCTAGGTTTGTGGATAAAATGGGAAATGCTACTTATACAAATTGTTTTACTAGATGGGTTGCAGAATGCGAAGTTGGCAAGATTTCGCACCATATTGGACAAAAAAAGAAGTTGAACCATCCAGTGAAATCTTGTCAGCTCAGCACCTTAACTCTATTCGTTAAAAAAAAATCTGCGCAAGTATCATTTTTCATAAAATAAATGGACTTCTTTTGTTGAGACTTAAGATTGACAGAATTTTATGAAGCGCATCAAATATGGTTAGAGAGCTAACCCGGACCGGTCCGGCAAGTTTTGGGTAGGCCCGTGTCACGTCCAACCTTGGCTCGGCATGGCTGGATATTCCTAAAATTAGCTGGGTTTAGCATGGCGAGTCTCGTATCCTGAAGGGTGGAATGACCCGTGAGAGGTCCGTGCCTTTTAGATACCTGTCTGGACCATGTAGCCCAGCAAATTTCGACACCTAGACATGTTACTCAGTAAGGAAAAAAAAAAAAATCATGCAGAATAATTTAACTAAAAATTCTTGACGCAAAAACTCTTCGTCTAAAAATTACAAGTATATTTCTTTTCACTCAATTAGTCCTAACAAGCTTAGGTCTCCATGACCTCCAGCCCTGCCACTTGTTCTCTCCAATTACATGATCGACAAATCTCCTTTTCAAAAAACTTTTAGCCGTAGATTTCCCACTGCCATTTTGAGAGGAGTTCTCTGTAGCAGCTTCAAGACTTCCATTGTCACTCGCTTCAACAATCTGGTTCACCATCTCAAGAACTTCGCTCATTCGTGGCCGATTTTTTGGATGTCGAACTAGACACCTGTTAGCAATGGCTGCTAGCTTTTGAGCAGACTTGAAGGAATATTTCCCGTCTAGTCGAGGATCAAGAATTTGTTCGAATTTTTTACTGTTAACAAGGTGTGGCCTAACCCAGTCCAAGAGCTTTTGCTCGTTTTTAGGTCGGTTTCTATCTAGAGGGCGTCGACCAGTGATGAGTTCATACAGAAAGACCCCATAACTCCACACATCACTCTTCGACGTAAGGTGCCCTGTTTGAATGTACTCTGGAGCAGCATATCCTACTGTTCCAACAACCTGTCGGATGGAAAAAAGATCGTTAGTCAAAACTGTCTAATGCAAAGTTCGATAAAAAATTTAGCATAAAGAAATTACGACAAGCTTAACAAAAGACTAGAATCTTCGTGTATTTTCCGACAGTCAACACAAAACTTAGTCAAATTTTATTACATGAATCATAATGCACATTACGATTTCCTAGTATGGTGTTCTCGAAAGGATTCATTTAGTGGACTCCAAATTTACTGGAAGCAATGCTTGGTTTAAGGAATAGATGCAATAAAATTAGATAAATAGTCTATACCGCTGTGGAGACATGGCTTAATCCATCTGAAGGACCCAACCTTGCTAATCCAAAGTCTGATAGTTTTGCGCTCCATTGATCATCTAACAGAATATTAGATGACTTGAAATCTCTAAATATAATCTGCATCGAAATAATTCAATTATGTATTACAAAATTATTTAATCCATTTGCGCGAAAATTACTAAAATATATTGTTTATGATATACATTAAGAGAATACATTCAACTTATAGACAGTCACCTGAAACTCCATGCCTTCATGAAGATATGCCAAGCCTCTTGCAGCATCTTGGGCTATTTTCAATCTAGTAATCCATGGCAGAGATGCCTGAAATCGAATTGATAAATGATCTTGAACGCTCCGTTTAGGCATATATTCGTAGATCAGAAGGCGTTGCATCCCTCTCTCATCGTCCTCAGCACAGTAGCCTATGAGTTTGACGAGATTTGGGTGTTCGGCAATGCCAAGAACATTCACTTCTGTAACCCATTCCTTGTGTCCCTGTATGAATTAAGATTTCCAAATATAAATAAATAAAACAGATGATTCGTGAAGATGGATCCTATAACATAAACGCGTCTTCTTAGAACATGTTTGGTACACAAAACTGGTTTTCTCTTTACTGTTCGGTGCTATAATGTCTTGGAACTCAGACATGACGGTGCAATGAACAAGAAAGAAGGCTTGCCTGTAACCCCCTTCTGCTGAGTTGTTTAACAGCGATATCGATCCTTTCTGTCTCCCGCAACACACCCCTATACACGGGTCCAAATCCGCCTTCTCCAATCATGAGGGAATGGCTGAAATTCTTCGTAGCTGTCTTCAGCTCTGCAAATGTGAAGACCCTAAGGTTGCTAGGTCTTTGGGACAAACTCTTGAACGACAACCTAACCGAGGATTCGGTGCTTATATCGGAAATGTTCTGAGAGTTGTACTCAGATCCAGATTTCTTCGTATCAGGATCCGTTGATATAGATGTAGATGAAAGAACAGGAGTACACTTTGACATCTTTGGTACATCATCTTTAGTACCATTGGAGAATGAAAAACACCTCATATCCTCCCAAAATTTCCAGTCCTTACTGCAAATGCATATTCAAGAAAAATTTCACCATAGGGACAAAGAATGGTGTTACAGTTTTGCAAGAACTCCCGTGTTATCTTTTGTATGCAGTAATATTAGATAGGACTCGACAATATGATTTACATAATTCTTTACTGCCCGGTTTGTCTAATACTCTGTACAACGATACCCTCAATTGCTAGTCATTAAATCCTAAAAAACGTTCATGAAAGAATCAGTAATCATGAAAGAGGGTACACAAGAAGCTAAAAGAAGAAGCCAATTTCGATTGCTTAGAACACCATAAAAGTAAATAATAAGGCATGGGGACGAATATCACTGATCATCATAAAAGAAGAATTCAAATCAAATCATTATTCCGATCTTTTCTTGATTACCAGAACAGACACTTTTATGATCTTTTTCTCAAGATAATAGCTTCAGGAAAATAGACAGTACAAAAAAGTTTAGAATAAATCATTCAAGAAAGTCCAAATATAAACATAAATCAGAAATTTGGAGAATTTTTTTTACCTTTGAGAATGAAAGGAACAGTATTGTGAACATTTAGCTTTCAAAACTCTTCATCTTGTGGGCTAGCTAGTTTTCAAACAAACAAATTAAAGCAGTAAAGGGTGTTTAAAGAATCATGTGTGGCGACGAGGATGCCATGATCTAAGGAAGTCAATGCTAGGCAGCTGGAAATTTGCTCACCAACCATACATCCCATTTAAAAACGACACGGATATAAAAAGAGAAACTTTTCGGTAAAACTTAATTTTAAAATCGACTTATTTAGAAAAGTGTATAACATGCTTACAAACTCGTAATATAGTATTCACAAACAACGTTGGATTGTGGCCGAAATTTTTTGAGCGTTTTCATTTGGCTTTATAATGACTAGTTATCTGCAAGAAAAATATTTGTGTATGATGATGACTTGTTCTTGGTTTGAAATTTATGCCACTTTGACAAGGAGAGCATAGTTTGGAACAAAATGTTACATTTGCAAAATTTAATACAAAGGCTGACATCATGCCCTCCTAGAAACTCAGCTTTCGTTTGGATATAATTTAGGGAAAAAAATATAAAATTCGTCAAAATTAGATATTAATTTAAATTGCACATTCATAATTACTGGTCATTATTATGTGAAATTTCTAAGCATTTATAAATGTGCTAATCGCAACATAATTCATTCGGCAGTTTCAGATTGTGCCAGGAGGTAAGGACGGATGTTTTGTCTCATAATGATAGGAAAATTAAATTTGTATTTTGTTCATAAATTACAAAAAATGCTACATATTAATAGGAATAACTATATAATAATATTAATTAAATAATTATTGACCAAAATATACTGTAAGTACTTTTTTTTTTCTTAAATTAATATTAAAGAGGAATAAAAATCAACTGGGAAGAACTTGTAAAGTTCAAAAAATTTCTCCTGTTAACAATTCATCTAAACTAAAATAATGTAAACGTCAAATTAAAAAAATCTCAAGTTCATATTTATTTTTCTCCTATTAGCTAGCATATCTCAATTAGCAAAGAAATTGAAATTAAAATAAAAAAAATAAAAAAGTTGATATGTAATATGCGTGTGTAAAAAAATGCTGGATTGATGGACTGACTTAGAATACTTTTAGTTAAACTAATCAGTTTGTGTTAGGAGATCTAAGAACGGTTTGAATATATATATATATGGAGGTGTTTGAGCCACATTATTCTGGTAATAATGCATTCTTGAATAGTGTATTGATGGAAATGTGTTGTGAAAAAATAAGGAAAAAATTTTGATTTACGTGTAATATTATTTTATTGAAGAATGTGTGGTTGAAATGATGTCAAATCACTATTTAAGAATACATTTTTTTGAAATAATGTGGCTCAAACAGGCTCTATATGTGAAGTTGTTTTCTTCCCTGGAGTGCCAAGAGGTGGTTAGGGAAGATGATCCAGTTGAGGTAATGTTCGTCTCGTAAGCCCCTAAAGTTTTCTCAAGCAAAAGGTTCGGAATATTATGTTCGAAAAGTTGGATAGATAGGACAAATGATTGCTTGGAGCCTCAAGACCTAGTAGCCGATGTAACAATAATGCATTTGTCAACTAAATATCATGAGTAAATTGCTCTCGATTATACAATCATTTGATAACTTGAATAATTCATTGATGAGTCAAGCTCAACGGAATTTGATCAATCCTTTTATTTGTCGTTAAGGCGGAGAATCAAATTGATCTTTTGTAATGTATGCTGGTTTAAAACTACACGCCTACACCATATTTTTTTTTT